AAAATAATAAAACAAGGTCTTTGTCTGCAATGATTAGACATGTTTTTTATTATTGTCATTAGTGATTATCTCAATTTTGGCTAAAAGACATGACAAAAATCCTACACACTGTGCCTTTAAAACAGCACAAGGCCAACCAAAGTGCTGTACAGTAGACAGACACAACAGGACAGAGTTAAAATTACAGTCAAAATCATGATAAACTTTTTTTCTCCCAACTCTGTAGTGTTTAGTTTGTTTTTCTTGCCTGTTTTAAGATAGTTTCTGGTACAAACAGCTTTCTTGTCAGGACCACTGGCTCTAGGGACAGATATGATGCAGGGTTGGGCTGCAGACATGAATGGCAGTGGAACGGTCCCCATAAGGATAGAAATAAAGCGTATGATGTTTTGTTGCTCTGCTGACCTGAATGACTCCCTCTAACATGATCTCAGCACAAACACACACCACCATAGCCTTGTGGGCGCTGCACCACCTCAGAGGACTGTCCCCAGACCCTGACGACGACCTGATGCTCATGAGCGCGGACCCTGCCCCCCTGCAGCCACAGCTCCTGCCCCCTTCACAGCCCAGAGAGCAGCAGGAGCTGTGTGATCTGGGAAGCTCTGCTGCCTCTGGTAAAACAGGCTGGCTGTCCTCTCTGTCCTCTCACACAGCTGCTCTGAGTCTCAGCTTCCTGTTTCACTCTTCTTACTTTGGTCTTTATTCTGTGCGCTCGGCTTATGAAACTCTATTCTTGGTCGCGCACATTATTGTGATGCCCTCGAAGCGGGGTCAGCCTCATGTTTTTATGTTGAACAAACAGAAGACTCTTTAAGAATAAACATGTCAGAACTCCTGCCTCCAAGATTTTATATGTGTAGGATCTCATTTTGGAGGTTGATGCAGATCCACACTTCTGTTTATCCATTTAAAAAATAATATTTTTTATTGTTATTTTTATACGCCAGATGAAAGACAGATGAGTTTTGGTCTGTGGAGTTAAATTAATCTCAAAGTGATCAGAGTGTGTTCTGCTGCAGATTTACATGTTTCATGCTGTCTTTAAAGAGTTTAGACTTTATTTAATAAACATATATTTTAACTGTAAAATAAAGACTGTAAAAATACTGTAGGGTGTTCAGTTTTTAAATTTTTTAAAATGTATTTTAACATGGATGGAGCCATTTTATTTACACGCAAAGCATTCTGGGTAAATGATGACATCAACTAGGTCATCAGTGTGAGGCTGCTAGCGAGTTATATCCACCCTGAAGGTTAATCTTGGACAATATCTGATGATCGACTCTTTTTAAATGAAACCAGAGAGCGTTGACAGAGAGGAGAAGGTAGAAATGACTCAGCCTGGAACTGAAAATATGGATGGAGGACAACAGAGCTGCTT